GAAGTACAGGCAGTAAGCATACTTCCAGTGTTTCAGGGAAGGGGAGACGACAGAAGATGGTTGTGATGATGCCTTCAAACACAAAACTGGTCTCACATCTGCCTATAATAGATCCATCTGGAGGCTCTGCCTCCAGAATTCAAAATCCTGTTTAATCTCTCCTGGTTTCCTGCAAAAGAATAATGAGAAATGTAGCTCAGGGACGGGGCAGAAAGATGTACGGACAGCCAGTATGGTGAAGTGGGTTCAAATCATTCACAAAGCTTACCAGGCGAGCAGCCAGTCATTCTCCTTCAGCTTACCCTACCTCACAGGTTTGTTGTGAGGATAGGCAGCATGTAATGACAGCCTGAGCTCCTTGAGCCAGTTTGGTGTAGTGGTTAAGAGTGGAGACTCTAATATGGGAAAACCAGGTTTGATTCCCCACCCCTCCACATGCAGCTGCTGGTGTGACCTTGGGTCAGTCACAAGTCCTTTCAGAGCTGTTCTCTCACGAGCAGTTCTCAAAAGAGCTCTCTCAGCCCCACCTACCTCACAGGGTGCCTGTTGTGGGGAGGGGAAGGGAAAGGAGATTGTAAGCGGCTCTGGGACTCCTTCGGGTAGTGAAGGGCGGGGTATAAATCCAAGCTCTTCTTCTTCTTCTTCTTGGAAGAAAGATGGGTAATGATTTTGTACTTAAAATCACCCTCCCACTTTCGTTTGTAGAACTAACAATCCTCAGAGTGGTTTCCCATCTGGAACTTAGCCGTGATGGTTAAGCAGGACTGGAACCTTGTCTGTGTTGCCACAAAGTGGGGGGGCTGTGGTGCTCCCTCTAAGCTGAGTTAGTGTCCCAGCCTCCGGCTCACACATTTTTCTCTTAGCTCAGGAAGGAGGGCTCCAGAGCAGACTAATTTATGCAGCAGCCAAATTGCTCGCTCACAGCTTTAATGCCAGTAGCTCACAAAGTAGAATTAAGACTCCACAGCTTAGTGGGAGCAGTCAGAAAATGCTGGGAGGTTCTGAGTCAAGAATCTACCTACAGTGGAGGCAGCTGCTTCCGAGTTGGTGCTCCCTACAGACCCAAAGATGATGCCTCCTGGGCTCTGCTGAAACCACCTCCCGGTTCAGCGAGGTGGAAGAAAGCTAGGATGGAATTGTTGTTTTGGAGTAAGAAACGGGCATCAGAAAACACATCGGCAGTCACCGTGATTATGCGAATCCCATGGTCACGGCACCGGCGATCACTGCCTTCGTGAGAGGCAAGCTAACGACACCACCCAGAGTCATGGATCAGCCCAGGCCTGGGGAGACAGGGGGAACTAATCACACACCCAACCCTCTCCCCCACTCAGTGCTGTGAACCAAAACTGGACTTCCATTAGCACACCCATTGCCCCCAAACACCTCCTGTGTGGCTCTGAATAAGGGGAAGCTGTCTCCCACACTCCTGGCACCGGCCAACCACCTCTGTGGCAGCAAGGCAAAGCAGCCCCAGAGGAAAACCACAAATCTGGTCCCAACAGCAGCTTCTGGCAAAACAGAAGGGGACGCTGGCTACGGTTCAGCTCTAGAGAAATTCTTTTGACTCAGCACCACTTAGTGAAATTAGCCCTGCAGCCTTTGGGGGCCCATTTTGTCGCCACGGTGTCTGCCCAGGCTGTTGTCACCAGGCTGTGCCACGGAAAGTTCTCTCCAACCCATCAGAAGACGAAATGGCCCTTAGTCCCCTGGCTATTTACTCCCAGGTGAGTGTGAGTAGGACTGCAGTCGGAGAAGCACTCTTCGCTTCTGGACTTCTTGCGCAGGTGTTCTCCTCTCTCAGGGCTTTTGGCAATTGCTTGCACCCATCCAATTGGCTACCAAACATAATTCTAAACTCAGTATAAAGCAAACTGCTCAGCTCCTTCTTCGTTTTCCTGATCCCATCCACAGGGGTGAAGGGTTTTTTGGGCAGCAGAGTGCTCAAGGCACATAACGCAGCAAAGCCAATCTGGTTTGTGTGTGCTGATAAGAAACAAAGTTACACAGGGAGACTTTTTATCTATGCAAGACTAATACGAGTCCTTTATTGTAAGAAACTCCATTCTAGATAGGAAAGAGTAGAGATAGGATTCTGATGTAGTCTAACTAGCTAGGATGGATAGAGACGCAGGAATCGTGTCCTGGCTCTCATGGTGCCAAGATGGAGAAGGCTAGCATAGTGTGGAGAGAAAGTGTCAGACCGGAAGAAAGGAAGATTCCCTGAAAGTAGCAATGTACACATCAAAGGGATAGCATCAGAGAGTAAAGGGAAGGATAGAACAGTGTCCTGGTATCCCTATCTCTCTGACTCTCTTATGGACCCCCTCTGAAGTCTAAGGCTAAGAGACAACACAAAGTCCTTCACTTCCTACAAAGTAAGAGGTTTAGGAGGAAGGGCTCCATTCTGGCAGCCTCTTCCCAGAAAGGAACAAACCGCCAGAGAAGTAGGAGGATGGTAGTGAACTCCCTGGCCAGGATCTTAGGCTCTGGCTCTTACTTGTTGGCTACAAGCCCCAACCACAAAGGGCCTGGGCCTGGTGTGCACAAGCCTCAGGGAACTGTAAAAGGGAGCCATTGTAGAACTCAGCGGTTTTGTTGATTCCCTTGATAATTTTGTGCAGCGAACTGGTTGAAAGGGAAACTACCCCTCAAGACTTTGCCTGTGGGTTATAACCATTCTCGGGAAAGGCTGTAGAGAGACTCATCCAAGAACTGCCCTTAAGAAGCATCCCTGTGCTGACAACATCCCACATTAGATAAAGGCTGCACAGGAAATGAGCAGGCTCTCTTAAGATGGGAAACATTTTTGGATTAAATTAAATCCTTCACAAATTCAATCAAAGGACCTGATGCGAGCGAGAGATGAACTCGAAAAGCTACTAGACACTCACGGCACCGAAACACCAGCCCTGCGGCTCCTCTGGGCTCTGCTTTGAAGTTGGATGTGAGCACAATAGACAATAACATGAACAGTTGGGTTGGGGTTTAGGGTTGCCAACCTCCAGGTGGTGGCTGTAGATCTCCCACTATTACAGCTGATCTCCAGGTGAGAGAGATCAGTTCCCCTGGAGAAAATGGCTGCTTTGAAGGTGGGCTTCTGTGGCATTGTACCCCATTGAGATCCCTCCCCTCCCCAAACCTCTCCCTCCTCAGCCTGCACCCCCCCCAAATCTCCAGGTATTTCCAAACCCGGAGCTGGCAACCCCGGGGGAGGTGGCAAACTGAGGCCCTGTCCCCTAATCCTGGATGTGTAGGGACTGGCTGTGGTTACTTAGGGAGGGAGATGGATTCTGCATGGGCTCAAAAGAATGGTTTCTTTCCCCAGCCAGCCTGCTGGCCCTGCTGGATCAGACCACTGAGTTCATCTGTTCCAGTATTCTGTTTCCAACACAAGACAGCTAGACAATTTTCAAAAATTTACAAGTAGGGCAAAAAAGCAATAGCTATTTGTGGCAAGCATCAGGCACACTCAGGTATTGGTACCTCTGGATGGCAAGCTTCCAGCCTATCATAGTTGACAGCCATCGGTACAACGGTGGTGGCTGCCGTCACCGGGGTGCAAGGAGCAGCTGGCTCTTGTCCTCCTCGTCCTGCGCTCCCTTCCCCCGGCCTTTCTTTCCATAATTCAATCAGGTTGGCTTGCTCCTTCTCTCTGCCCTGACGCCAGTGCGGCCAACTTAAACAAACAGATGCAATCAACTTTAATACGGTCTAAATTCTTCCCGGGTGGACGTCATACAGCAGTTTCTTTATCAGCCCGCAGCTGCAGAGTTGCTACTTATGGAGCAGAGGGAGGAACCCGGGACTGATTAGCAGGAAAACTGAAGAGGTACTTGTGGGGCCCTCCATAGCGTGCTCAGATAAGATACAAGGGCACCTCTACATTAGAGTGGTTTGGTACTGGGCGTGCATCTCTGGTGCATGTTTGGTGTGCTTGACCCTCTGGAAGTCTCGCGGCACTGAAACATAGCTGCGTGAACCCTCCACATGGCAGATGCCAGGAATGGTGGGTGGTGCACTTGAGTCACACAGTTTGCACAGGGCACGGGACGCTCTTGGCGAGCAAGACCTTGACACCAGATAGAAGTTGGGTTGCCAGGTCCCCATGGCCACCGGCAGGGGATGGGGTAGGGGTTAGGGTTGCCAGATCTGGGTTGGGAAACTCCTGGAGATTTGGGGGGGTGGAGCCTGGGGGGGGGGGGGGCAGGGACCTCAGTGGGGTGCAAGGCCACAAAGTCCACCCTCCAAACCTTCCATTTCCTCCAGGGGAACTGATCTCTGTAGTCTGATGAAGAGCTGTAATTCTGGGGGATCCCCAGGTCTCACCTGGAGGCTACCTACACGGAAGACACAAACTACAAATACAACTCGAAAATGGGGCAAATAACTTCCCCCCCACCAGAGCAGTTTCAGCACAGGGAAATGGTACAGTCAGGAGCCCTCCCTCCATGCTGTGGTTCCGGGCTGCATGAGGCCCCCTGCAGTTTTAAAAAGCAATTCCTCACAGCTGCAGTGTGACTTCAGGGAAAGCAAGCTGGGTCCAGGCAACCCAAACCCAACTTATGAAAGAACAGACAGACCAAAACACCCGAGCCCCGATCACCTGCCAAGTGTAGAGCTACTTGATCTTAACAGGCAGAAGATCATTCCGGAATAGAGACAATAGCCTATATTAATTCCAGCCTGTTGTACAGTTGTTCAAAAATAATGTTCAAGATGCTCAGATGGGCAGGACTGCCATGCCTTTCACAGCAGAAAGACTTCGTATATGTGAGCCGCTCTGCAGGACTGGAAGAAGACACAACAGCCCAAATCCCCTCTTCAACCCGCCCGTCCCAAATACAGAAGTCCAGTTTTCCTTTGCATCTGGTCATTCTACCCACTCACAGTCTACAGGCCAGGCACAGTGCCAGAATTTGGTGGTGGAGAAAGGCAGATGGTCCACTTAAGGAGTCTGGGAGAA